TCTTGTGGCTCTTTACAGATTCTATCTGCATTGTAACATATCTGATGTAGATATTAATAGTCAAAAGGTTTACAAAGAAGTTTGTTATGTTTTTGTGGTCATTAGTAGCTTGATCGAGCTTAATTGTAGGGTTGTCAGGTCGAATTCTTAAGACTTTCTTCCTTTACTTCTTTCTAGATCTGATAATCTCCAGCTAATACAGACACCTAAAAGACTTATAAAAATTATTAGGGATCTTATACTATTGCATGAAAACCTTGAATAACTGTTTGTTTATTTTTTTAATCTATTTCCTTACCTCTTTTTATGTTAACCAATTTGAAACTATTATAGTTAAGCATAATTGTTTCACCTCCATAGGAAAAATAGGCTAGCCTCTCACTGCTGCCTACTATTTAACAGTTTACTTACTCTTGCATCCATTGTGTAAACCTCATTATCCAGGTTTTAGATTTGCCTTTGAGAAAGTTTGTTTTGTTGATTGTGCTTTTATCATATAGCTGAACAACATCAGCTTTTTACCCTATTGTTTCACCATAACCTCAAATGTTCCTTCATTTAATATTCTTTGATTCAACAAGAAAAGATGGGTGGAAGTGCGATAAGTGATGATTGGGAATTCACTACAACTGGAGCTCGGACACTGGTTCTGGTTGGATGTACAGGTAATGGTAAAAGTGCCACAGGGAATAGCATTGTTGGAAGAAAGGCATTCAAGTCAATGTCTAGCTCAGCTGGTGTAACAAGTACTTGTGAACTACAGAGGACTGTACTAGAAGATAACCAAATACTGGATGTGATTGATACACCAGGTAGTATGCATAGATTTAAAGTTTCCTAACTTTACTGCAATAAGCTACATTAGTGAATTTAGTATTTAAATAAGTCACACACTACTCTATCTGTTGCTTATAACTAATGATTTTTTGAAGAATTATTGTCTTTAGTTAAAAGCGGATTTTTATGCAGATTTATTTTCAAAATGTTAGTATCTATATTTGTATTGTGTGTGACTAACATGTAGAATACTTTTTATACTTAGTGATATGCTTTAGCGTGTTCTTAAGAATTATATTACTGAAACAAACCAATGCAAATTATAGCACACATAAAAAGACAACATGAAAGAGCTTTCTAAGCATTTAGAATTTGTCTTGGTGTAATCTGAGTATATTACTTGTTTTTTTCAAAATACTACGACATACCCAGTGTAATCCCATAAGTGGGGTCTGTGGAGGGTGGTGTTGAAGTATGTAAACTAATTGATAGGAGTGTTCTTCATAAATTACTAGGAGGACAATTTTACTGTGTTTTCCTTCATTCATGAGATTCCGTATGCTATTAATTGTTCCTGAGTTATCTAAAGACACTGATAAAGCATGCTACATCAGAGTTGCAAAACGTGTTAACATATGGAACAATGGTGCCTCAACACTCAAAATATCCGCATATGTAAAAAACATGAATTTTCTCTTTATCAGATCTTGATCTGTTTTTTTACTACATAAAGTCAAAAATAGCTGACTGCATCAGAATTGCAGGATTGTTTGATTGTTCTTCTGAACCTGAATTTGTTGGAAACGAAATTGTTAAATGCATCAATATGGCCAAGGATGGGATTCATGCTGTTCTTGTAGTTTTATCTGTGCGAAGTCGCTTTTCAAGAGAAGAACACGCAGCAGTGCAGAGTCTGAGGGAGTTCTTTGGGAGCAAAATCAGTGATTACATGATTTTGGTTTTCACTGGTGGGGATGATCTTGAAGATAATAATGAAACCCTGGATGATTACTTAGGTCGTGACTGCCCCGAGCTTTTAAAGGTATAATGTGCTTAAATATAATCTCATACTTATAGTCTGTTTGCCCAAACTTTTGGGAGGCCAAAAAAGCTTATTTTAAAAAAGTGAAGTGTTTGACCAAGCTTTCAAGAGAATTAGTGATTCCGAGGAGTAACAAAAGTTATTTTCCAGTAGCTAAAAAAAGTAACTTTTCTTTAAAAACACTTTTTTGAAAAGCATTTTTGAGAAAAATACACTTAGAAGCACTTCTAAAAAGCTTGGTCATACACTAATTGCTGCTTAAAATTACTTTTTAAAGTTATTGGCCAAACACAAACTATTTCTCACCAAAGGTGCTCTTTTTTTACTAATTGTTGCTTAAAACTTAAACGTATTTTTTAAGTTTATTGGCCAAACATGATCTGTTTCTCACCAAAAGTGCTTGTTTGAAAAACAACTTTTCAAAAATAAGTTGATTTTAGAAGCTTGACCAAACATGCTATTACAACCTAACTTTCAGTAAGCTACTTGATTTTATTCGTAATTAGAAAATTTGTTAAAAAGGTTTCGTCTTATTTTTTTTCCTTCAAAATTTTCGGAGATTTCTACACCTTGATAGATAAAACTCTGGTGGGGAAGAATGTGCTTCGGCTTGTTAGATAATAACTTACAAAGCCTAGTCATATATAAGGCCTAGAAACAATAGCTTGTGGGATGAATCTAGTACATCTGAAGAAAATAATGCAAAAGTAAAAGTGTTTTCTTTTGAGGGTGGGGATGGGTAGAGGCAAGAATCGATAGTAGATTTATGACTTCATAACCAAAAAATGGAAAAAAAGAACAAATGGAAAAGAGAGGAAAGAAGTTCTACTAAATATAGCTAGGTACTACGATTGCCTTGATCAGGTTTTATTCTTTTCTCTTTTCAAAGTTCTGAAATTAAAGAAAGTTTTAAATCTAGCAAAATCAGCACCAGTTAGTAGTTCTTGTTGTAGGCAGGTGTTGAAGGGAAATGACAAGAAAGTGGGGAGAAAAATATATAATGGATCTTGAACTATTGGGATCGATTCAAAATTTCCTTTTCTTATCTAGTAAAATGAGGAAAAAGAATTTTCAGCAAGATTTATACTTAAAATTCCATCATCAAATTTCAGTTGGCTTTATAGGTTATTGTTTTCTCTCTTCAAACTTGTGCAAGTATGAGATATTTTCAACTTAAAGCATTTTCTATGATGATCTAGAATACCCTCAAGATGTGTGGAAATAGGCAAGTGCTTTTCGATAACAAGACTAAAGACCCTTTGAAGAAAGCTGAACAATTGAAACAACTACTTTTCCTGGTAAATGTGGTTGTAGAGAATAATGCTGGAAAACCATATACAGATGACTTGTTCAAGGAATTAAAGGTATGCACTTCCAACATTTCAATTGTCCTATGTACTTTTCCAGTAATTGGGCTGACTTGTTAATTGCAATGTTTTCATTTGTAGAAAGGAGCTACCAAACTTCATAACCAGGCAACCGAGGTTAATTTTTTGGTGGGATATACTAAGCAAGAGAGACTAGAGTTGAAGGAACAAATGCAAAAGTCGTATGAAGAGCAACTGAAGCGAATAACTGAAGTGGTATGTTTGATCTTTATTGAACTCTTTTGCTACTATTAGAAAATGAATTCATCAGTCATTTATCTGCTTTTGTATATCCTATTGCCAAATGCTGATGTTGCAAATTATGCAATACATTTTTAGTACTAGCAAGGGAATGAGCTAGTGGCTTTCTTTCACTAGTTAGTTTAGAATAATAAAATTCGTTAGTTATACAAAGTTTTGTCAAGGAAGTTTTTGATTGGTACACTACTTTTCTGCTGGGAAATCATGATGGTAAGATATTAGATTTGGCCAAAGGCGCCATAGAAGCAAGCTTGACCGATCTTCCTTAGCTTTCTAGATTTCATGTTTCTGGACTTCCCTTGGCATGTTAATTTGGAACATCATATACTGTGTAGTGATTGTAGAACCCTGTCCCCCATAGTAGATAACTTGTTTCACTCAACAAGGGTCAAATTGCAAATTTTGTAAATGAATTAATTCAATTCCAGAAAAAAATAATATACATGTAAACTGCTTGTCCAATTTTATATTAATAAACATAGCTATGGAATGATAATGATGGTAAAGCGCTTTTTTGAAAAATCAAATACAAAGACAACTCTGTTGAATTGCATGCAGTAGTCTGGTGCCAGGGAATTACGGTGTAGTCTATGAATTAGGTCTGGCAGTGTCATAGCTAGATAGTGCCTTTGGGCTTTCTATTTATCTACCTATCGTTACATGTTTGGCAGGTTGAGTCAAAGCTGAAGGAAACCACACATAGGCTCGAAGAGCAACTGGCCAAAGAGCAGGCTGCTCGGTTGAAGTCTGAACTAAGTGCAAAAAATGCACAGAAGAAATCAGATGAGGAGATTCGCAAGTTGAGAGAATATCTGGAGAGAGCTCAAAGGGAGACAGAGGAGCTCCGAGGTCGTTCAGATCGTGGCGCGTGTAATATTCTGTGAGAAAGCTATCTATATGTATATTCTTTTGGGAAGAATGTGCCACTAAAGTGAATTTACTCTTTGCTTCAACTCTTTTACTCCTCTTTCTATCGTATAGAAGAGAGTAGTACATCTTGATAATGTTAAATATTCAGTTGGGATATTGTCATGACTAGTAATCAGAAATAGCTCAAGGTTGAATGATGGTATAGGCTTTCATTTTCTCCCATGTTTTTGGTTCTGATTGACTTGGTGGTTAGTGCAGTTTGTGGAGTAGTTTCTTCTGTCTTATTGCATGCATATATCTATGGAACTTGATGATAAGTTACTGTTATTTTACCAAAAGAAAAGGATTTTGTAGGAGGCTTGTAATGCCAACCAGATAGTCCTGATTTATGTCACAGTAATAATCAAAAGCCTCTTGAAAATTGCAATTAAGTTTTAAGGTCATCAAGTTATCAAGTCCTAGTGCTTGAGTTGGTCAGACAGGTTTTCGCTTTCGATATGATTTGAAATTAGGGTGACAATGTCAAGATTTATCAACTTTTTTTATCATAAGAAATAAATTCACACTCCCCAAAGTGAGTCGATTTTTGTCCAATGGTATGGTAAGAGTCAAATAAGAGTTTCAAGTGCATGAAAGCAGGCAGGATCGCAAACTAAATTGAAACCAGTAAAATCATTTGTGACAATTCCATAACTAAGCCCCAAATTTTAGGAAATGATGCAGGGTCTATTGGAAAAAAAAGCTGAGGTGTCCAGAGTTTACAAGTAATACTAATAGCAAACATGAAAATAAGGTAGTAAAGATTATTATATGTTCGAAAAGAGCACATTCCTTCCTCCACAGTAGAAATGGATTTACCTGCATCAACAGAAACCAGAATTGAGAAGTGCGGTTTATCAAGTTACACATTGTTTTCTCCATTGAAACATACATACTTGGAAGGGAAAGATGATTCACTGAAGTTGGAGATGAGACCTTTTGTGATCAGGAGACAATGGATCATAAGATGGTAGTGCAGTTTCCATCATGTTGAGTTGCAGCATATTTCTTGCTAAATATTGTTGAAATGCATTATACTCTTGCCCACCTTGCTCACCAGATGGCATCATGCTTAGTTCCTGCAACCTCTCATTTTCTGCTATCTGCAACCAAATCAATTCAATCTCATCACTACTCTTTTTCTAACCTCAAAATTGGTTATTAAAGTCTTTAAATAGTAGTAATTAGTATGAACAGCAGAGTGACTCCCTCTAATCTTATATAGATAGGGGTTGAAGACGAAATTACAATCTATAAATTAAAGGGGACTGATGCACCATCTTTACCTGCTATTCAGGCATTGCAAATTTACTTTGAGGACTGATTTTGGAGAAGAGAAGAAGAATTCTTATTTCAGAATCAACAAACTTCAGTTACAATGTGAATTGTATTATATATACATAAGTATCACTAGCTCATTCAACTCTAACCGACTACTAACAAACTTGTGGTCCCAACCTACTAACTAACTTTTAGCTAATCAACTTAATTAATTAACTAACTATCAGACGATTAGTTAAATTAATTCCAATACTCCCCCTCAAGCTGGATGTATAGAACAAGTTCAAGAATCCAAGCTTGACTACAAGTGTGTCATGTTGAGACCTACCAAGTTGCCTTTGTCAATAGATCTGCCTGTTGGTCTTTTTGTATGAATGTAGGTGGTTTTGATTAATCCTGCTTGGACCTTTTCTCTCATAAAATGACAATCGATCTCAATGTGTTTGGTGCGTTCATGAAACACAGGGTTAACAGCAATCTGTATGGCTGCTTTACTGTCACAATGAATGCTTTTTGGTCCTAACAACTTAACCCCCAATTCCTGAAACAAATTTGTTACCCAAACAACTTCTGCAGTCAAGGTTGCCAAGCTACTATACTCTGCAATACTCCTAGAAACTGTGCTTTGTTTTTTGGACTTCCATGAAATTAAGTAATCACCAAACTTTAAGATGAAACCAGTGATGAATCTCCTCATATTTGGACAAGCAGCCCAGTCTGCATCACAAAACCTTGTAAGTTGAGGCTTTTGAAGTGAACTTAATAACAATCCCTTTTCTGGATCAACTTTAGTTTAGTGCTGCATCACAATGTGATTACTTTGGTCTCTGCATGAATTGACTCAGAGATTGTACAGTAAAGATTTTATCTGGCATGGCATTGGTAGGGTATAATAATTTCCAACTAGTCTTTGTTACTTGTTAACATCTTCAAACAAATCATCGTTGATGGTAGTACCCTGATCATATTCCACACTAGTCAATTTCATGTTGCATTCTAGTGGTGTAAGGGCAGGTTTTGCAGCAGCTAGTCCCACCTCAGATATCAACTGCAAGGCATACTTTCTTTGATTCATCACTATCCCTTTACTGGATCTAAAGAAAGAATTCAATTCCCAAGAAGTAGTTAAGCTCACCGAAGTCCTTGATCATGAAGTGGAGTGCTATAGTTGCCAATGTGTGTTAGTGGAGTGGTTTCTCCATTTGGTAAATTAACTCTCCTACCTATACAGCCTCTACTGTAATTTAGTCTTCCTAATTTAGAGGTCATGTGACATGTAGTCCCTCAGTCAACTATCCAACTTTCCTTTTCATCATTCACAGAAAAAGCTTGGGTAATAGGACTAATCATACTTGCCATAGCTATATTTGCCACAATGTCATCTGTTACTTCTCCTCCTTTGTCTAGCATATTCAAGATTCTTTGGTACTACCTTTGAGTGAAAGTAGGATGAGTTGCTAAAGCTGATGGTGCAAATGCATCAATTGTTGATGCTTGCTCATATCTCACCAAATTTGCCACATTTTTGATGTTGTTTGTCAGTGATCTGCAATCCTTGCATGACTAGCTCCTCCTTGATCAACTCCTGGTCCTGATTTCTTCTTAAACTCCCAATCAGGTGGATAGTCATTCAACCTGAAACAATCTAGTTTGACATGCCCTAGAAACTTACAATAATCACAAATCTGATCCCAGTTTTTCTTCTTATGCTCAAAGTTCCTTGGGTTACTTTGAGGATGTCATTTTTCTGCATATAAAGCAATTGAATCCAATTCTCTACCAGAATGAGTCCATGTTATTGACCACTAGCTTTCATTTGTCATTATCATAATATAAGCTTTGCTAACACTTGACAAGGGACTCATCATTAGGATCTGACTTCTTGCCTGACCATACACTTCACTCAATTCCATTAGAAGTGCAAATAGCCTTAAACAGTCTATATGATCCACTTATGTTCTCGATTTGTCACAATTACATAACGGTGGGGGGCGCAAATGCATCAAACTCATCCTTCAACAATCATAAATTTGTAAAGTAACTAGAAACAATCAAATTACCCTAATGAGTTGTGCAGATCTCTCTATAGAGATGATAGATCCTTGATCCATCGACCTTATCAAATCTGTCTTTGAGATATCTCCATACTTATGTTGCATCATTTGCATACACAATTCCACTAAGTAGTTCCTTAGAAACTATGTTCGTAATCTAGGCAAGTACAAAACAATTACACTTCTCCCATTGCTTTTCCAATTCCAGTTAATAGTCACATCTCTTGCATGTTCCAAGCACGAACCCTAACTTACTCTTAGCACGAAGATTAATTAACATAGACCTGCTCCATAGTGAGTAATTCTCCGTTCATGTAAGTTGTACCATGGTAAGGACACATCTAGGAGTATCTAATGGATGAAGATAGAGTGAATGATTGCACTTCATCTCAATCTCATTTAGAGTTTCTTCTCTAACTACAACTGCATCTAATTCTCATATTGTTCACCATTTCCTCTGATTCCACAGAAGATCTTCAATGGCTGAAGAACATGATTGTCTCTTCACGCAGTTGAATCAAACTTGATTCACAGCTCTGATAACTTATTGAAAATATACTTTGAGGACTGATTTTGGAGAAGAGAAGAAGAAATCTTATTTCAAAATCAACAAACTTCGGTTACAATGTGAATTGTATTATATATATATATATATATACACACACATCAGCATCACTAGCTCATTCAGCTCTAACCGACTAATAACAAATTCTACGAACAAACTTGTGGTCCCCACCTACTAACTAACTTTTAACTAATCAACTTAATTAATTAACGAACTATCAGATAATTAGCAGGGGCGAACCCACATAGACTCATTCGGGTGCTTGAACACCCATTAACCTTGTATCAGACTTTATATATCTATGTAAAAATTAAGAAGAATTTGTATTAATTTAACATGTAGCACCTAGTGAACAAATGATTTGATTGGTCCATTGGCTCATGGATGCTTAAGGTTATTTTAGTATTGTTGAGGGTGAGTTCAAATTTCATTCTTAACATGTTTTATATATATATCTTGAACAACACCCACAACCTTGATTAGTCCAGTCACAACTCGCAAGAGAAGAAGTTTTCTAAGGCTACAAGTGATATAGATTATAGAGAGTATAGACTCATATCTTATTACACTATAGATTGTGGAAAACATCAACATTTGTGTAATCAATAATAACATTATGGTTAGTCATCAACTGGCCGGCCTGAAAGGTTTAGGAAGGAAAGCGATTTCTCTTAGGTGTATGTGAAGGTATTGGTTGAAAATTGTTTCTCAATATTTTTATCAAGCATAAGAGCACTTTAAATAGTTGAACACATATATTGTATGTAAAAAATTTACAATTCAAAAAAAGGTAAAATATTTCAATAACTAAAACAACCTAATAAAAATTTGAAATTCAAATTCATTCTAAATCAAAGCAATTTATTATGCTAAAAATATAGCTGAACATAAATTTCAACAAGATATTTAAATAAACATATGATTCAGTAGAATAAAAAATTTGCATGTTTAATTCTTCTATTTTTCTGTTCAGATTTTATTTAGTTTCTTGATTATAAAACATAAACTCATTTGTTAAGCTGTTTAAGACGCAGAAGATAACAAAAGTATGTGGTGTGGGTTGACCGATTCCACATGAATTCACACCCGCATCTGTGCCTTGTCGATACAAATGCGAGGTCAAAAATAAAGAGTCCGTGCAACTTTAATTATAATATGTCATATCAATCTTCCCACATATTTTGATATTCATCAATTTCATTTTGTAATTTTTTATCGGTAAACTTTCCTACCCCCTCCCCTTCCTAAATCCGTATAAATAAGAAAAACCTTTTCTAATCATAAATTTCAGGGAATTGATTTAAAAATGTGAAAATTAAATCAAAGAACATATGAGGGGAATGAAATAATAGTTCTAATTATTAATTGACATATAAAAAGTATAGAATATTAAAATTATTTAGTTTAATTCTCTTCCATTTAATTTTATTTAGCTAAAATGGAGAATATATGATTATTATTTTTTTGGAAAAAGTAGTGTGATAGTAATACTAATTTGAATCTATTAACTTTAATTAATTTTTTTTGAACATATTAATGAGTCTTGAATTTATCTATTTTTCAATGAAAAATCTACAAATCAAAATTAACGAGTACCAAAATATGTGGACGATATTGCATACTAATTACTATAATTAAAAAGTGATTTCTACAACAAGTGTCATTTATCTCGTGTAGTTGGGGAAATAGAAAAAAAAAATGTAATAGAGAAGAGTGGCATAAGAAACAACTTTAAGTGATAAAAAAAAAAATATATAATACCTTTGATCTAAGGAATGCATTTTCCTGTTCAAGTTGAATTTCCTATTATCAAAGTTAAATAATTCAAATCAGTAGAAATTTAAAAAAAAAACCATAATGAGAAAAAGAAAATACCCTCTTGTGCAAATTCTCAGTCTCAGCTAGTATTGCTTCATGCTGCATCCCCAACACAAACAAATAATAATTACTTAATTAGTTTGATATATATATTTATGCTCATATAATTAAGACAATTAATTAAAATATTATATGATATGATAATTATAAAATATTATACCTTTTTGGACCTAATTCTTGTAATGCCTCGTTCAAGTCTGTTCTCCAATTGCTTCAGTTCCCTCACATTTAAAGAGCACAGCCCTTCACCCACCAGATGCCTGTACTTGTTACATGCAAATTAATTATCACTCATTATTTATTTATCGAATATTATTATATATACAAATTAAATCACCTATTTGTGTTCTGCATCAATTGTATTTGTTGCCGCAACTTCTTTGATTCTTGTTGGTAAAACTGTAAACAAATTAAACAAAAACGAAATTAAATAAAAAGCATATATAGTAGTTATATATGACATTTTTGTATATATATAATTAAATACCTGTGCATTGAGCTCTTGAGTAGTGTACGCACTAGACGTTTCTGCTGTTGCCTTCTTGTATCGTTCTATAGTTGCCTTTACACTGTTCACATATATAACGTGTTTAGCTCTGTCATATAAACATAACATACACAACAATATTTATAGTTATAAGTTGCTTAATTAATTACGATTTATATATTAGAAATAGGAGAGAGATCAGAAGTGAGATTGGGAGAGGGAGGAAAAAAACCAAGCTATATTTGGGAGAGACAAGAGAGGATGTATCAACATATACAATTGATAGAATTGTTTTATATATCAGTGAATACAATCGTCGTATCAAGTGTATATGTTCCTTGTGTATTTATTTTGTATCAAGTGTATCAATTAGAGGTGTCAAATGAACGGGTTGGATTGAATTTGGGTGTACAATTAAATTGAGTTTAGTTAATAAATGAGCGGGTTATTGACCCGCTCAAAAGCTACTTGGACTATAATGGGCTAAAATGTGGGTCATAACCCAACCTACTCAATTCTTCCTAAGTTTTAATTGATTTATTTAAAAAAAATTAGTACTTCTTTTATGACTGTATAAACATATCAAATAATAATTAAAAATTAAACTATTTCAACAAGATTTCTCATTTGTCAATTTGGACTACAAATCAATCAAATTTTTAACGAGCTGGAATGGATTAGGCTTAAATGAGTTCAACTTATAAATGAGTGGGTCAATAATCCGTCCAAACTTGAACGAATTGAGTTTGATTTTGTCACCCCTAATATATCAGCTAATACAATTTTGTATCAAGTGCATGTATATATTTATATCATTTGTTATGTATTTGTATCATGTGTTGTATACTCTTTTAGAATATGATTGATACAATGTTGTAGGTATACATTTGTATTATGTGTTGTATACTCTTTCAATACATTATTGTATCTCTTCCTCGTTCATACAAATTGAACTAAAGAAAAGGAAGAAGAGAAATCTCCACCATCTCTTGCTTCATACAAATCTTTCGCCTAATTTTTTTCTATACCCAATTTGTATTAGTAAGTATTATACCCTATTTATATTAGGCGAGAGAAAGAAAGGGGAGCAATGGAGGAGAGAGGAAATAAAGTGTAAAAGTAAAACTAGAGTTAAATAGTATAAATAAAATAATGAAAGCCTAAAGATTAACATTGTGTTTAAATAATACATACAAAATGGATTAATTGAACGACTCAAATGAAATAAAAAAATCGAGATAAAGTGTGAAAATAAAAAAAAGAGAGGATAAATTAGACATGTTGTCCATATATTTGGCCTTCTGTATATAGTTTCCCTAATGCACAAAAAGGTGCATTATATTACTATGTATATATTTATCATTTGGTTAATGCATACATATATATATATGTAAACAAAAGACAGTCCCAAGTACCAAGACTTGCCTTATGCATGCAAGGGGAAAAGTAGCATGCATGCATGTATGTATCATTTACAGAGAGAATATATATTCAAAACCTGAACTAATAATGAAAATATTTTTGTTGCATACTAAAAGAAAAAAAGCAAAAAACAAAGCTAAATGAGCTTTTAACAGTATATAAGCTACAAGTAGAAACCAAACAACTCCTACAACCACAAGTCATCAAACAATGCAATCCTAACTCTTCACTTCTCGATATAAGCACTCACAGTTTTTCTGCTGATTCACTTCCATTTTTCTCTTTCTAATTTGTTGCCCTTTTTTAGCTTATTATTGTTAAGGATATATGTGGTTTCTAAAGACATTAACAGCCCATATGATCAACTTCAATCCACCAAATGTGCTTATTTATTCGAAAAAATTACGCATAATGGCAAATATTTATAGTTTATTATTTAATTTAGCTATAGTTTTGAATATTTGTTATGTATTTGTATAAATATACCATTCTTGATTGTATTAATTCAAAATTTGTATATGCTTACCCTAGTTATTTATATACAATTTGTTGATACATTTGATTGGTATAAGTTATGGAAAATTTATAATAAATTACCATGTTTGTATATTGACAAGAGAAATATACAAACAGATTTTTGAAAAATTCATAAATGTATATATACAAAATTTATGTATACTTACCCTGTTTGTATATTGACAAGCAAAATATACAAACAAAAATACCCATAGCAAACAAAACTACAGTGATGGAGCATAATTAGACAAACGGTAGCTAAGGAGGCTTATCAAATTTAATCTCTTTCTCTTATCAACTGTAACTAATCTGGAGACTATTGCTTTTTTTTTCTACAACTATTTAATTCCTCCATTTAGTTTTTACTTGACTCATGTTGACTTGATATAATTCTTAAAATAAATAAATATCAACAGTATTATATCTTACTAACCAACCTTATTAATAATATTTGAAACTGTAAATTTGACTTTTACTATTACTTTATGTAATTCTTTAATACCAAATAGTAAGAAAAAAAATACTCACTTAATTTACTAAAATGAATAAGTACAAATTAAAGAAAAAATTATTTGTAATATTACAGGCCAAGTAAAAATCGATTTTTCTAAAGTAGTCATTGTTAGAGACTATTTTGGTCTATATATTGGAGAAATTTTTATAAGACTTACCCCGAAGCGTAACAAATTTTGGGTTACAAAATTCTATAAGAAATTTTTATATTTCCAATATACTTATATTTTTCTTGGTGTAATTAATAATACTTCAAATTCAAGTGCACTAATACAAAATTAAGTTGTAAAAGTGTGTTACTCCTAATCCTCTAATTAACTTTTATACGAGACAAATCACACACTTTAACATCAACTACTTGAGATTATCTGAAAGTTAATTCATTGATAGTAGCTAGAAGCTAGGAAAAAACAAGTTCGATTAATTTGCTTCTCCACATTTAAAATGCTGTATTCTTGAATCAACTAGGAATATTTATTTATCTTTTATTTTTAAGTTATTATGGACTAATATTGCATAATTAATGAGGATGTGACGTTTTAGAAATTGTAATGTACTATCTTTTAACCTAAATTAAACGCTAAGATATCCTTTTTATTTTATAGAATATAATTTTAAGCTTTATCAGACCCCATTAGACCAATCATAATTAGGCGCTGTGAACGATCCACTATGCCTACATGATCAAAAGCTCATTCATCCACCAAACTGCATTAAAATATAAACAAATTCACTAAACAACAATTTTTTCTTAAATATACTACACTAGTAAAAAAAAATTGATTTTTTTTTTAGTTTTTTCTTATTCCCTCTTTTTCAATTTACGTGGTACCGTAGGAATTTTGAGATTCAATCAAGTTTTTTTTTTTAACCATAATCGCTTTATATGTTTTTTTTAAAAAAAATAATATTTTAAGATGTCAATTATTGTGATCTACAGTACTATTTATGAAGTTGTTAAATATATAAGTTTTATGTACTTAAAACTTGAATATACACCATAAAAATTAGTTAATTAGAAATTAAAATGTGAAATTTATGTAAATTAGGAAAGTAGGAAATGAAATGAAGTATGAGAAGAAGGAGATACTTGTTGTTAGAGTATTCATAGAGGCGACCGCGAGTAGAGAAAACAATGAGAGCAATCTCAGCATCACATAGAACTGAAAGTTCATATGCCTTTTTCAGTAGTCCATTTCTTCTCTTGCAGAATGTCACCTGTCGATTTGTGTTGTTCTCAATCCTCTTTATCTCTATCTTTCCTCGACCCATTGATCGATCGATCTACACATCATCACATATTTCATAATAATAATTATACAAAAACATACTTTTAAATTTTCTAAAATTCTTATTTTATTAAACAACATCATCTCCATATATGCAAAGTGCAATTTGTGTTCAAGTGTGTCACTGATCACACTTTTATTATTGAATTACATGCCGGAAGAGGAAATTGCTCGGAGAAAAAAAATACTCCTACGCTCTGGACTTGAGGAATTAAAGAATCATTTAATTACACATATATAAGATATAAGAAGATTTAGGTTAAAAACTAGAAAACATCCATAATTTTAGTGGAGTATTTAATTAGGGTCAAAATAAGAAGAAAAAAAAAGGACAAGAGTAGGGTTTCTTTTTACTAAACATATAGCAAGCACCAGATTTTATGTTTAGGACACAGAATGAGATTATATAGAAGATGGTTACTAAAAATGAAAAAAAAAATCCAATATCTTCAGATCTGAAGATTTACATGAAAAAGAAAGTATGTATTATATTGAACTGAGGATACTAAGAAAAAGATAAACAGACCTGAGTGAGTTCAATGGAGTCGGCCACACGAATTCCAAAGACTTGCTGTTAGTCTTTTCAAACAACTTATAAATCACACAATTACACTATACTATACTATAGTGTACATATGTGAAAGGAAAGCGACCAACACAGAGCAGCTGGCAAAGAAAATGACATTTTTTCCACATATAAACCAGACCACCCTCTTCTTTATTACTACCTTTTCCACACCAAATTCTATACCAAAATAGCATAGGGTTTAATTTCCTCTTTGCTCAACTAATTTCCCCTTCCATTTTCTTCCTATACAATTAAGGGGAAACTTTCAAAAACAACAAATATTACACCTTAAATAGGATTATATAGCTATGCTTTACTTAATTACAAATAATAGCAAAATGTTAGGGGAGGAGAGAGGCGAGCGAGATCTGGGAGGGAGTGTATTTTTTAGCGGATTTTGGAGAAAAACTACAAATACAAACTGATTTATATCAAAATGAATACATATTAAGAGGAGAGAAGCGAGCAAGATCGAGAGAGGAGAGAGGCGAGTGAGATTAGAAAGGCGAGCGAGAAGCGAGACAGGGAGATCCACTACTAAAAAACAATGTTTAGCGATGGACGAAATCTGTTGCTACTAGACATATATCCGTCCCTAAACTGTATTAGCGATGAAATGTTGACCGTTATAATTTTGCTAGTAGCTAACCCCTTAGTGACAGAAAAATTGATTCCGTAGCAAGAATAGCGACGATCTAGTGACATATGATATTCGTGATGGAAAGTTTTGTCGCTAGATTTATATACTTCGTTGCAAATTACATAAATTAATTCGTCGTCCTATAAATTTGCAACGATATGATTTATCGCTAATCTGTCGCAAACTTTTGGCAACCTATCAATATTTGTCGCAATCTGTCACCAATTTTTATTTTCTAACTACATCCAAAATTCGTCGCAATATATAACACCAAATATTCATATAAAATAATTGTTACTACATATATAACATATGCACCAAAACATATATTCATACTGATATTAAGTCCAAAACATCTACACTAAGTACGAATCATCTAACAATAACTTTCAAAAACAACAAATATTATACCTTAAATAGGATTTTATAGCTATACTTTGCTTAATTACGAATAATATCAAAATGTTAGGGGATGAGAGAGGCGAGCGAGATTTGAGAAAGAGTGTATTTTTTCCTGGATTTTGGAGAAAGAATACAAATACAAATTGATTTATATCAAAATGAATACTTATTAAGAGGAGAGAGGCGAGCAAGATTTCAAGAGAGGAGAGAGACAAGCGAGATCAAGAGAGGGAGAAGAGAGGATTGTATTCTGTATTTATTTTGCATTGTATTATGTATTTATTTTGTATCAAATGTATTGGAAATACAACCAATATAATTGTATTCATCATCCACTACAAAAAAACCCCAAATTGCCAATAAATTTTACTAACAACTTAAGTTGGTTAGTATTCTACTAACAAATTACCAACATATTTCTAACTGATTTATATTTTAAAACTTAACAACGAAATTCTAACAGATTACCAACCAATATCTTACTAACTAAGTATTTTAGTTGGTAAATACGGCGGGAAAAAATGGCGCCAAATTTAGCAACATTCTATCAATGGATTACCAACTGAAATATTACTAACGCACACCTTTTGTTGGTAATATTACAAACGAAGTATATATCGGTTGGTAAATATGACAAAAATTTGTTTATATAATTTATTAACATATTACCAATGAATTACTAACCAAACATTTACCAACGGCAAGATTGTGTTGCTAAATTTACCAACCAAATATAAATGTGTTGGTAAATTAGCAACGAAATGTAATTTGTTGGTAAACTTGCTAACCAATATCCAATTAGTTGGAAATTTTGCCGACGAATAAAGATTGTAGTTAGTAAATTACTAACATCATTAAAATAGTTGGTAATATACCAACCGATCATTAATCCACTGGTAAAATTTACCAACATATTAATTATTAGTTGGTAATATTACATATGAATGTTTTGTTGAATAGTAACTATTACCAACTGTGATAAAATCTATTGGTAAATTATTAATTACTAACTTATATTTGAATAGTTGGTAAATTTACCAATTGAAGTTAATTTTTTTGGTAAATCAGCATCTAGTGTTGAGGCTTTCATATTCAGTTTGTGTCGTTAGGCGTTTTAACTTTTAAATTTTAGCCAAAACTTCACTTTGGTCAATATTTTTTATAAACGTGCTCAAATTAGAACTCTGTCAGTGTCATTAGCTTCGAAAGGTCATTTTTGGTCTAATAGGAAGGTTGGTTCAAGTTTTGAAGCTTTCATTTTTTGTTTGTGCCGTTAGGTGTTTTAAATCTTATATTTTTGTCAATATTTTTGTGAACGTGCTCAGATGAGAATTCTGTCAGCGTAATTAACTCCAAAGGTCATTTTTTTTATCTAATAGGATGGTTGGTTCAGGTTTTGAGGCTTTCATTTTTAGTGTGTGCCGTTAGGTGTTTTAACTTGTAAATTTTGGCCAAAATTTAACTTCGATCAATATATTTGATAAACGTGCTCAGATGAGAATTTCGTCAGTGCAGTTAGATGTTGAAGGTCATTTTTTATGTAATAAGATAGAGGGTTCGGGTTTTGAGGCTTCCATTTTTAGTTTGTGTAGTTAGGCATTTTAACTTTTAAGTTTTGGCTAAAATTTCACTTTAGTCAATATTTTTGGTAATCGTGCTCGAATTGAAATTTTGTCACCGCAGTTAGCCATATAAGTTCAGTTTTGGTCTCATAGGATAGTTGGTTCGGGTTTTGAGACTTTTATTTTCAGTCTGTGTCGTTAAGCGTTTTAACTTTTAACTTTTGGCTAAAATTTGAATTAGGTTAATTTTTTCGGGAAACATGCTCAAATTGAAATTTCGTCAGCGCGGTAAGCTCTGGAATGTCATTTTTTGTCTTATAGTATAGTTGGTTTGGATTTTGAGGTTTTCATATTCAGTTTGTACCGTTAGGCGTTTTGACTTTTAACTTTTGGCCAAAATTTGACTTTGCTTAACATTTTTTATAAACGTGCTCTGATGAGAATTCGGTTAGCACGATTAGCTTCGAAAGGTCATTTTTATATCTAATAGGATGGTTGGTTCATGTTTTGTCGCTTCCATTTTCAGTTTGTGCTGTTAGGCATTTTAACTTTTAAGTTTTGGCCAAAATTTAGATTTGGTCAATATTTTTGGTAAACGTGTTCAAATTAAAATTTTTGATGTAATTATATATGTCATATTGAAATTAATTTAACTTGTTATCGTAGATTTTGCATTGTTTCATTCAATTATGATTTATAAAATTGATATTAATATTTTTGGATTTGTGTTCGTGCTCTTAGATTTTTAAATGCAGTAAATTAATAAATATTTTACTATTGGATAATCATTCAGTTAATAATATTTTGAACATATTTTCAATCAATTACTAACCTAACATTGAACTTGAATGATACATTACCAACAAACTAACTATCAATTAGTAAATTGATTAGAAAAACAAATAATCATACTAACGTATTTAAAATTTATTACTAACAAGGGTTGTGGTGGAGTGGTAAATACTCCTTCATCCTTAACCAAGAGGTCTCGGGTTCGATTCCCCTTGGGTACGGAGTCTCCTTTGTTATGGAGCGTAGAGGTCTCGGGTTCGATTCCCCTTGGATACGGAGTCGCCTTTGTTAGGGAGTACTTTACCCCCCAATGTGGGACTTCCCGGCGTGAATCCGGATTTAATCGGGCTCCAATGTGGGTACCGGACCGGATGGGAAACCAAAAAAAAAAGTACTTAAAATTTATTGGTAAATTACCAACATAAATTTTATGTTACTAAAATTGCCAACCAATTACCAATGTATCTGGAAAAGTTTACTATCAGACATTTGTTACTATAATTACCAACGTATTACCAACGGAATCGAATAATGAAGAAAAAAAGTTACCAACTCCTTTTCAATTCGTTAGTAAAGGTACTAACGATATACTAACCAAAAATTAGTTGGTGAATTTACCAATGGAAATTTTCAGGCCATGTTTCAAAATTTTGTAACAACATCTTTGGGTGTTTACCAACTACTTTTTGGTTGGTAAGTTTACCAACAAATTAAAATCGATTGGTAATATTTACCGACGAGCCTTTTAGCAACGGATTAATATAAGTTGGCATTTGGTTGGTAACTCAATTTGCCAACCAATTTGATCAATTTACCAACGAATTTTTTTGTTGGTAATTGGAGTTCCTTTTGTAGTGATCTCTTTGATTGGATACAAATACATTTGCCAGAGAGGATGAATGCATATTGTATTCGTATGAATATAAATACAACTGTTACAAAAATATAAAATACAGTTTTTTGAATACAAGTAAAATAAAATATAAAACTCTCACCTATATTTGATTGAACACAATTGATACATA